CATCTCTGAACCCCCCACACTGATACAAGTGTGTACGTGTGTGTTATAGAGCAACCTCCTCTACTTCGCCTTCATCCTCCTCTGGGTACGTTCGCACTTCTGGCCCGCCGAACTCTTCCTCATCCTCAACTTCCTCAACCTCACCACCCTCTACTTCCGCCACTCGACCACCCCGCGTTTCGTCCACATCCCCGTCGTCTCCGCCCCGCTTGCCTTCACTTATGTCGGCGGTGCACGCCCACTCGCTGACCGCCCGCATCTTTGCTAACATCGCCATCTGGAGCATCTTGTTGTATGGAGGCTTCTTCCTCCTGGCCTTCAAGGACTACACCATGGGCTTCGAGCTGGCCATCCTCTCCCTCGGTCAGTGCAGCTTCCTTCCCTTTCTCTCTCCTCTCCTCTGGCCCCGATAAAAGAAGCAGCGACCTCTCGTGTTGTGTGTAATCATTTGAACTGACCCAAAGTCGCAGCTCTGGCACTGGCACAGCTGGGCACACACGTCATCGCCTTGCAATGGATCTTCGCATTCGTCATCATGGGCTGTCTGGCGGTCCTGTCGGTCTTGATCGGCGTGCCGGGCATCTTCGGCGACAAGAACGGTATCAGGCACCCAGGCCACATTGTCGAGCCGGACCGCGAGAGGCAACCCCTGTTGGACGATCGTTAATTAAATCTGGCGGCTGGAAGAAAGAAACAGAACGATTCTGCGAAACCCCCTGGGTTGCAGCACTCTGGTACTTATGGGAGGAAGCTTAAATCTTTGAACTGGGGGTTATCAAAGTTCGTTTTTTGGCTTCTCGTTCGAGCTTCGCGTAATGCTTAGGATGGTAATGTTGTATTGGTGATCGTAAATTGAGTATGCTCGTCAGGAGGATATCACCGTACTGGGTCTGCATTTAACATAATCAAAAAAATTGCATGATCATCTCCCCCAGTATAGTATGGAGAATATGCCCAGAACGGCCCACATCTGGGACACCGAAGCATTTTCTCGATCCAGTATCGCATGTCCATGTATTTATTTACAGCTAAGAGAGAAGAAAATTCGTGTTTCCTCTTGTTTTTTTCCCTTCTTCCTTTCCAGACCCTAACTAGCCAACACCCCACCGAGTTCTTCTCCTACCAACCCTCAACTCCCCTTGACTCCCCCAGCCGAGGCGCAGGACTATAAAGCTGGACGTCATTCCTCCCAAACCGCGTAATCACACCCTGCTCCCATCTGGCTGACCAAACACCTCGCAAATTTCAGCCGCCGGTCTCCGCATTCTGCGCATTCCCCCCCGCCAGCAGCCGTGCCGGTGCTGGGTTCAGGAGCGGATCGTCCCGCTTCGTCGGTGGTGGCTTGGCGGGCGAGGTTGCTGGGCAGGGAGAGATAGGTGCCTCGGTCTGTGAGGGCGTATTCCGGCCAGGAGGATCGCGGCGGTGGGGGCTTGGAGCGGGAGAAGGCGGTGTATTGGTGGTACCAGGTTGAGTAGGCGGGTTGCCCAGGGGACTTGCATTGGATTGGATAAAGTCGTTTAGTCGTGGCCCTTTAGGGATTGGAGGGGTGGTAGAGATTAGAATGCTGACCTGTCCGATGCTTATTCAAAGAGTGAACTCCTTGATATTGGTGGCGGATTTGGGTCGTAGCGGCTCAGCAATCGGACGGGCGCGCTTCCATGGGCGGCTGGTGCTTCGGCGGTCCTGCGGAGTTGGGAGAAGATGGTCTGGACATCGCTCGTGTTGGAAATTCTGGCTGGGTGGGAGGGAGGTGGTCGCGGAAGGCGTAGTAGCTGGGTGACGTGGCGATCCTCTCGTCGTTGGCGATCTGTTCGGCGGCTTCGTTGTAGGTGATTCCGCCATCGACGGTGTTTGAGGCCAGGTAATTGATGCTGACGGCTTTGGTACCATGCTACCCTGAAGGGCTCGGAACCGTTGGAGCCGCGGTGGTGGATGAAGGCGTCAGCAAGCGCTGTTTGGTACAGTCAGTCCCATCTCTTTCGTGAACAAGGGGTGGGAGAGGGACCGTTGACTAATCGCTCTGTCCAGCGCCTCCGTTACCAATCATAAGCAATATTTCCGAGTCTGCTGCGGTAATGGACCCGTCATACATAGCTGCTGGGTCTACAGCAGCAATGGCTGTGACTAGATATGTCGTCCGCCACAGAGTCAGGGAGAAGGACAACATCTTGATTTTGAGAGACAAAGCTTCGTTTGGAAGAAGTTCGAGTCTGCAGATGTGTAATAAATGTATTCTTACACCTACCGGACCGAATGTAGAATGACATTGCGCTCTCCCGGGTAAGCACATTAAACCTTATATAGGTTTTTCTCAAGCTGACAGTTATAGCTGTACAGGTTTCGTGGTACTCTAGAATATAACTCATTCGAACCTGAGCCTGGAAGGCTTCCTCCGACACCGGGATTCTGCGTTGGCAGTCGATGTACGAAGTCAAATCTGAAAAGAGCTGGATATGGCAGCTGTAGGCGCAGAGGCTAATGACAATAATGATGAGACAAAGTCTAGTCAGATTCCCGCCTCGGTGTCTGCATCATCAATGGCACCAGACCTCGGCCTTCTGCTACGTCGGAGTCCAGGGAAGTAAATATCTTTCGTACTGTTAGCTTCTGTGGTGTTGACATTAACACTCGAATGAGCAATATATGCGACTGCTGATGGCTTCGACAGACTTTGTTGCTGCTGTACGGCGTAGCCAGGAAGATGAATGGGAGGCTAAGCTGCGCAGCTGCTCAATAGCAGTTCCACTTTCCCCATGAATTGTGGTGACTGAAGCGGCATCATGTCGACTGTCACTTACAGTAACCTGGGACAAGATTTATGTAACTTGCCAGTACTCCGTTAGAGTACTACTGACGTAGCAGTACTTACCAGGAGGAAGCCCTCTTGGAGCAATGTCTAGTTTATGTAGAGATATATAGCTAAGACGTTTAAATTCCAATACAATAAAATTATGTTATTTTAGACGTGACACTTGGATTATGATCCTTGGATGTCCTTTGGAATCACAAATCATTGCCATTTTTTGGAGCCCGGAGCGCCCCTTCTCCAATAAGTACGGTTTGAGTGCCAAGAGAGCTCGTCGACGCGAAGACGCGACTGCAGGGGTTCGTGCAAGGGTCTGGAGGTCGTCTGCACCGTAACTTAGTACAGGCAATAATGAGGTTGAGCCGCATTACGGTGTCTTATCCCTTTCGATTAATGAACGTGTTGTCAAAGTTAGCAGCATTCATTCACTGGCATAGTGTGTTCGCCAGATCTGTATTTGTACTTGTACCACGATAATCATGGGCTACGATGACCCCGTGCCTTCGATAGAGCGGGAAACACTGCCCAATCGCCAACTCTATCAGGCATCAACAAACAATAAAGCTGCATCCCAGTGGTCACAAGAACCAGCCTCTTTGAACAGCGCGTCTAATACACCACTTCCTCCTTCTTCGCCAGCCACTATCGCCCAACTGGCACCTCGATTGCACATGCATGAGTCCACACCAGGAGTGCAGTCTCTAATTCAAAAGCGCTCGACTTCGCATCCTCTGAATCATGACAGACGTTCATCGACACCTCTACAGCTAAATAGGAGAGTGTCTGCTGTTCTGAGTATGACAAGCTCAAGTACCCCAACACGGCCGCCAACGAGTCGGCGTGTATCCTCCAATCTCCTCCTGCCATCCTCAGCCTCTTCTGCTCGTAGTCGATCTTCTTCTGGAGCAACGATCAGAGACATGGAGCGCAAGCCTGAGACCACGTCCTCTAGCGTGGCGCAAGACTACTTTAGAAGGGAGCTGGGGGCCCATGCCAGCGCCGAGACGTCCTCAAAGGCTGCTGTAATCATACGCGATGCTTGCTATGGGCACCGGTATTCGAGGCCCCGTACTTCAAAAGCTGCGCTTAGTACGATCGTGGAAAGACCAGAGAGACTCCATGCATGTATTCTCGGAGCTTCGACAGCCTATGTTCGTATGGGAGGGAGACATGCTGGTGGTGATTGTCCCCCACATCCTGATCACGACGTTTCCTCTCCACCATTCAAGATCCAGAAGACTACTAGATCTATTCCCTTGAATTATGCAGCAGTGACACAAGTGCATGGGCAAAAATGGATGGAGGAGCTTCAGATCATGTGTGATTCGGCAGAGGGAAAGCTGGCCATGAACGGGAGAGAGCTTGTCAGACCGATCGGATATGGCAAAGACGAGGCCGGAGACGCTCTGCCTAAGTTGCACGAGGGAGATCTATACCTCTGTTCAGCCTCTCTGGATGCATTGCAGGGCTGTCTGGGAGGCGTATGCGAAGCGGTCGACGCTGTTTGTGGCCCTGGTAATACCAGTAGAGCTTTTGTTTGCATACGTCCTCCTGGACACCACTGCTCTTCCAATTTCCCGTCCGGCTTCTGCTGGCTCAACAATGTTCATGTTGGTATCGCTCACGCCGCCATGACCCAAGGACTGACACACGCTGCCATCATTGATTTCGACCTTCACCATGGAGATGGATCTCAAGCCATAGCATGGGATCACAATCGCAAAGCTGCTGGTAACCTGCCCAAAAATGCTTCCCCCTACAGCAGGACACCTATTGGATACTTTAGCTTGCATGATATCAATTCATATCCATGCGAATGGGGGGATGAAGAGAAGATCAAAAATGCTAGTCTGTGCGTTGAGAATGCCCATGGCCAGTCGGTCTGGAATGTACATCTTGAGCCGTGGAAGAATCACACCGACTTCTGGAAGCTTTACAGGTCGAGGTATTGCATCCTGCTAGAGAAAACTAGGATATTCTTACGGCAGCATACAACAAGACTGCAGAGCGCAAGTAATGGTCCCAAGGCTAAGGCAGCAATCTTCCTTTCGGCAGGGTTTGATGCTAGTGAATGGGAAGGCGCTGGCATGCAAAGACACAAGGTCAATGTTCCAACAGATTTCTACGCACGATTTACCTCGGATGTGGTGAAACTGGCGGAAGAGGAAGGCCTTGGGGTTGATGGAAGAATCATCAGTGTGCTTGAAGGAGGTTACAGTGATCGAGCCTTGACGAGTGGAGTACTCAGTCATCTCTGTGGACTGACGCATGATATCCAAAATGCCATTTCCAAGGCAGAAACCATTGACACAGGCTTAGCCTCTGCAATGGCCAAGCAAATGAGCATGCCCACCGAGCCCAGTCTTACTCCACAGACCGATGGAAAGATACACGCTGATGGGCCGGACACGATTGGCAAGCCCTCGTATAACCCGGAGTGGTGGTCTACCTTTCATTTGGAAGCTCTTGAAGTGCTGGTCAACCCACCTGCTGCCCCTTCTTCACAAACCAAGTCAAAAGACAAAACAATTGGCAATTACTCTTCTCCTACACAAGCCTCCACTGCAAAAATGGCGGATCCTGCCCGAGAGCGAAGATCTCTATCCGTTCAAGCAGAGGGAAGAGCATCAATAGAGCCAGAACCAGTACAGCCACCACCTGATGTGGACTGGGCTGTTGCGTCATATGAGCTGTCTCGACTTCTCATCCCCACTGATCGCCAAACCCTGAGTTGTAGGCACGATGAGCTGAATGCTGAAGCGACAAAGGTCCGACGAGAAAGGCAGTCAACCATAGGTCTACCATCTGATGACCCATCGGTAGTGGACCAGAAAATGCAGCTTCGAGATCGGAAAGCAAAAGCTATTGTTGGTGAAGACCCGCTTAAGGCCGCATCGAAAGCAGACAGACGGAGGACTATTGCCGCAGTGGGCGATCTACCTGACCCAGGAGCTTTGCAAGATGTTCGGAACAAACCCGCTATAGGTATTGCCAACAATCGAGCTAGAAGAAGATCTAGCGCTGGCTCGAGCATGTTATCTGCATTTGAGAACATGAGTATGAGCGATCGTGATAGTCAGGCTCCCGAGTCAGGTGTCAGTACCACTCGACGCGAGACTGTGCTAGAGAAAGTCCCTGTTCAGCGGAAAGTCAAGCAGCCGGCCGCTGCCAAAGTGCAGCCTAGCAAACCAAGAACGAGCCCCAGGAAGACAGGTCCTACACCTCCCGTACCAAAGGTTCCATCCGCATTCAGCAGATCTTCTAGCCATACCTCGACTGAACGGCGAGAAACTACGACCAACCAAACGCGGTCTGCACGCGGTTCGGTTGCCTCAGCAGACACATTGACCAAGGTGGATGATCTAGATGCTCTTTCATCTCATATGACAAAGCTGAAGATCAATCTGAAGGTGCCCTCAGCAGAAGACAATGCGGCGAGGGAGAGGAAGGGAGCGGTAGAGAAGGACAAGCAGAGGAAATCTCGAGTGCCACGAAAGCCGCCGGTGGCGAAGGCAGCCAAAGATGCTCCTACAAAGCCCCGAAGACAATCTGATGCTCCTCATGTCATACCTTCAAGCACATCCGAGACAATCACCACAAATAAGCAGACTGCTAGAGTTGTCGATGTTCCTGCTTCAACCGCTCAGCGCGGGCAGCAGCCGCTACCTGTCCAGAACAGACAGCAACCAGCTTCAGCAGACCAATACGTCCCGACAGCTAATATTGCTGATATTGCTCATGCCGAGCCACCGTTACAAGCGACCATTCCCGCTCCTGTCCCTGCACCGGTAGAGATCGACACTGCAGTTTTAACCCAGAACGCTACAAAAGACTCAGAAGATGCATCACTTGGAACGCCTTGGAAGGAAGCCCTGCAAACCTTGGCCCTTAGCACAACACCTGTTATCTCCTCTCCTGCCTTACCACCGCACCCTCTTGACAGTGCCCCTTCGCAACAAACTCTCTCAGCCCCTTCCGCCTCAGCCCCGACCACAATCAAGAAAACAAGGCCCGATCTGCCTCAATTCACCGCCTCGTCACCAATACCATTCCCGAAGATGGATCTGGGTGTCCGTCCTCTACAGCCAGCCAAAGAAGAAGGAAAACCTTCACATCATCAGCACCCAGTTGAAAGCCATCCACATCTCCAACACCAGACCAAGGAGAGCACTGCTCCTGTCGCCGAGACCAAATCTGCCCTGCAGCAGCTTCCCAAGGCGGCAGCAGATGCGTCGATGTGGGAAGTGCCGGAGACACCACGACGGTGAGAATATCCACCTAATACAAATTTGGTGGGGCTCGGGATCCTCTCCTTTTCTCTCGGTGCTTGGTTGATTTTGCGGGGGTGGGCGTCGCTTCTGGCTCTGGCTCTGGCTCTGGCTCTGGGTTTTCCCCTTTCATGTCCTGGCCGGTTTTTGCTTGGGGTTTTGTATCAGTTCATACCCCACATAGTTAGGTTCCCTAGCTTTTGTTTCTTAGCATAATATTTCACAGCATAAGATAGGATGGGATAGGATAGGATAGGATAGGACAAAGCCCCGTTCTAGACGAATGCTGAAGTTCCTCCCCCTCCCCCTTCTTCCGCGGAGTAGATAGATGTGTATTTTCGTCAATCCACCGATCGAGCGGGTATGTATAAGAGGGAGGGACTCGTCGACGAGGATATTCCACTTAACTTGCGCTCTCCTACCCATCCATCCATCCAGTTGACGCATCGCGCATCGGGAGCAGCCGAGGAGGAGAGGAGGAGGGAGGAGAGGAAGTGCCTTTCTTCCCGTGACTCGATAATCCCCCTCCCAAGACACAGACACAGACACAGACACAGACACCTTCAGAGCAAAACCTCCCAGCTTCCCACTCATGATCTGGCTCCAAGTGACACACTCCCAACGAGACGTACGTGTACGTGTACGTGATATGCGATGGTGGATGAAGAAGGTGTACGATTTTCATTATCCAGTCTTTCTTTCCCAAATCCCTGATTTAGATACATGCGATACTAGCTGGTAGCCTTTGCCTCTTGTCCCCTTTCCCTTTCCCTTTCCCTTTCCCTTTCTCCCTTTCCTTTTCCTGCCGGTAATACAAAGGACCAAGAAACCCCCTACCCGCCCAAAAAAGAAAACGGAACGCTACATGCATGCATTCATTTTTCCTTCCTTCCAGCAAACGTGCACGCGTCTACGATGGATCTCC